CCCTTCAAGGAACCCTTAAAAGGAGCCCAGAAAAGGAAGCCTTCAAGGCACCCTTGAAGGAGCCATGTCGGGTCCTGAGGATAAGTCGAAAGCCAAGACCCGGAAACCCCAAAGGTTTGGGGGTTCAGGGCTTAGCGCTTAGGGTTTAGGTTGAGGATAACCAAAACATTCGGCCGAAATGACACCAAACACATTCCTGTGTCGAAGAGCGACCTTGCCTGAAGTCTGATATCAATGTGTTCCATTCTTGGCCGGTCAAAGATCTCAGGCCAGGCAGCGGTAGCAAGGACAGACTAGTCTCCCGCAGCGAACAGATATCTTCGAAGACACCTTCAAGTTCGCCTGCGACCAGTTCCGGCATCAGTTTTCCTGCCATCGGACACACAGCTGACCCAGGCCCAAGATGGCTCTCCAGGGTTTTGCGGCGATGGTGTTCACTGAGATGCTTAAACAATGACCGATGGCAGGGACATGCCTCTGCAGCTGAAGCAAGAGCTTCAGGGACCTCTTCGAGTTTCAAGGCCATCGCTGCGTAACTGTGGAATAGCGGGCTTTGAACAGCTTCTGTCACTTTGGCTGGGTCAAAGACAGAAAGACCTTGACGTTGATTTTGCACATTCTCGGCTTGTGCTTGGGCTGGCCGAGCTTGACCATCCAAGTTGACACCCCGGATGTACTTCTGACTGTCCCACGCCCTGGCCAACGTAGGGAGTAGCCCCGTCAACTGTTTCAAGAAGCCAAGGACTTCGTGCCAGTGACTCTCATAAAGACTGCCTTTGAACCTTTGGAACCGATGAGATTGCCCTTCCAAAGGAGTGCCCTGGAGGCATGTCCAAATGAACCTTTGCCGACGCTCGTCGACACGCAGCAGAGCTTCCACAGCTTTCAAATCACTGTAAAACGGAGCCCAATTCCCCATGCCCTGATGAACATCTGCACAAAGATTGTTGACGACATGCTGCAGGCCCCCGATTGTGAAGGCACAAGGCATGAGAAAGCTCTCGGCGGCACGTGGTCCAGCCCTTTGATGAGCAGGCGCAGCGACAGCCTCAGCGGGACCTCCAGGTTCAACGTCGTCATCCTCAAGAAAATCTCCATCTATGTTGTCTTCAACATCCAGTGGTGCACACGGAACGGCTTGGTTGCTGTCATCTACATCAATGTCAGGGGGAATAAAGCGGTGCAGCCAGTCTGGCAACAGGGCCTCTACGGACCCTGAGACATGAAAATCTGGCAAACTCAGTTCCACTCCCATGTCGCTGCAATGTGCGACGTAAGAGGCTCCGTGTTGGAACAAGTCCGAGGTGATTGGGTGCTGCAGATGCCACTTAAAGACCTCGCATGCAGCCTTGTCTGACAGGCTGCGGTGGCCACTGCCCATAGCTGCCGGGGGGTTGATATGTTCATGAATATTGCTTCTCAGAGTCTGCAGCCATGGCACCCACTCAGGCAAAGGAGACGTTGGCCACCGTATTTTTTCAGGCTCGTCGCCGTCAAGAAGGTCTTGATGCAGTTGCCTCTGCTCTTCAACGAAAGAAGCAACACCCTGCTGGAGACTGCTTATAGCCCGGAACGTCGCGAGCAGATGGCTCTTGTCCACTTCATGATACTGTGACCAAATCCAATCATACCCGGCCAGGGGCGAAGAATCGCTCCAACCAACGCGAATGCACGACGACACAGAAGAGGCCCGCTTCCGACTCAGCAGCATGAGTGCAACATCAAACGCAAGTTCGTAACGCCGAATGAGACTAGCACTGGGGAGCAGTCTCCTGTTACTGCTAGGCTTCGTGACATTTTTTATGAAGGCCTCACGTAGAAACTCTGGCAGGACAGAGGCCAACGACTGTGCCACTACATCCACCAAGGAACTCGACCCTCCAGTTAGATGAGCACTCAAGCGTATGCAGTCGAGAACTTTGTGTGATGTGTGACGAAACCGTGACACACCACCAGGACCATTCAGCATGCCCATAGCTTGGCGCCACGACAAACTCCATCTGTCCAGCGTAGTGAGCACGAATGACATGTCTGCCTCAACCGTTGTTGGGGGTGGCTCTTGCGCGAGCAACGACGGACCCCACGAGCGTACTATCCTCGCCAACTTGTCGAGGGACTCCACCGTTAACGGCGGAATTGCTTGAGCGTCCGCATCTGCATCGGCACTAGCAGGACGTTGAGGCCTCCAAACTTCTGAATCAGCTGGAGGCCAACCAAGAAGTGGTCCTTCAGGTCTTCTGTGACGGTGTTGATGTAAAGATGAATGCCAATGAATCCGAATCAATGCAGAAGACCAGGCCCGCTTGTTAATGAGAAAGGCCAATGGCCAAGGCAAGATCATGACGGGGATTTCCGCTGCGGAAATTTCAAGGGCAGCTGCACGGAGCACATCCTCTGCTGTGACCCGAGTTCCTGCAGGGCCTTCCAGTCTCCGCAAAGCGGCACCGCCTTGGGGGTCACTGCCCCAATGTGCAACAAACAACGGCTGTGTTGCGGAAATTCTGCCTAAACCACCAGACCCAGCTGTACGGACTTGTTTGTGATGAATCTCCGCCGGCTGTTCGCACACATATACGTTCTCTATACGTAGTTCGTAACAGTCAGCAGGATTGTTGTAGTATGTCCTCTGCAGAGCTGCCTCTTGAGACCACTCAGTGCTCAAGCCGCTGTCGTAACGACAGCCCCTTGACGACATCTCAAGCAATGCACACACCTGCACGCCCCCAGAACTTTGAATCGAGGAGCTGTGGGAAACTGCTGCATGCCCAGCAAAAAACCTGAGCACTTTCTTCTCGAAGCCAGCACCGCCATGATGTTGTAATCTCTCGCAGAACCAGTCCGCTGGCTCTAAGCAACACCTGTGGCGCTGGCTTCTCTCACCTCCAGGCTGTCCAGGCAGCCGCACACGCAGACTGCCGTCTGCAACACACGCCAGCCACAGAAAGAAGCGCTGCATTCTGTTGAGCTGCATTGAATCTTTATGACTGAAAAAACCTACGTTTCGTGATGGTTCGAGCTGTTTGAAACTGTTTGGAATGTGTGGTTCAACATGGCTTATACGAGTGCTTCAAGAATGTTATAGGGTTTAGGGCACGGAAATATATGGGCTCGGACTCTTGTTCTGAAGCTGGAATTGCAGGAAATCTATCGGATGTCATTGCAACAGCGAAGCTGCGTTGTGGTTCAGGAAACAAGCATCGTGAAAACATAAATCCAAAAAATCGAGCTATAGGGCTTATAGGGCTTAGGGCTTAGGGTCCAGGGTTCATGGGTCTTAGATGGGACTCGTAAGACCCATGAATCCTGGCTTTTTTCTTTTCCGCACGCCACGCAAATCCAACTTGGTCACAAACCACCAACTGCGAAGCTAAACTGTATGACTCAAGGGACGACGGCAGCGGCTACGCGTCAGAGTCGCAGTTTCCTTGGCACTTGCAGTCCTGTACATGGAGTATTTCTCGTTGAATTTCACCGGTGGCCCGTAACTGCTTGACCAGAATCGATTGTGCAGAGACTGATGCGAGAGAGGCATAATTGTTTTAAAGTTTTGAATGGAAGGCATTCTCAAGATGGGAGAGATGGCAATATATATAGGGGCCCATAGGAGTCAATAGGGGTTGCAGATTATATCTCAATTTACCGTTGGCCCTTGGCCCTGGGTGTTTTGACCAGGCCAAGGCAGCGTCCAAGGCCACTTGCTGGACATAGGTCAACAAGGCCGTAGCTATTTTTTGATCCACATCGGCGGGTGTGGTCCTCAAAGCCACTGCAGCGTTGAGGCCCGCGGTGTCTGTGTATGGCAGCAACGCCGTGGCAATCTTCTGGTCCACGTCCGCGGCCGTCTGCCGCGCGGCCACGTCCACGGCGAGCTGGTCCGTGACGGTTTTCAAGCCGTAGGTGGCAGCCACGGAAGCCAACACCGCGTTGTCGGCGCTTGCAATGGCTGAATTCATGGCAGCTGTTGTGGGGTGGTTCGCCAGCTTTAAGTCCACTGAAGCAGGGGTGCTCTTGCCATTGACGTCTAGCTGCAGGGCGTCCAGAGCCTTCCCTGCCAGTCCCGTTGTCAGGCTGGTGTTCAGGGCGGTGATTGAGGATTGGTTGGCGGCTACGGAACCCTCGGCGGCCGCGAGGTCTGCAGCCAGAGCATAGGGAGCCAGGTCGGGCGGTGCGGGCAGGCCAGCCACCTGAGTCTGTAGAGCCGCAACAGCCGCGGAGTTGGTGCCAATGCTGGCCGTGTTGGCGGCCGTGTCTGTCAACGGGGTATAAGCCGTCAACACAGTTGCCAGCTGCCCCGCGGTGATGCCACTTGTTTCGGTGGTTTGCCCGTCGTTCAGGATGTTGCCGGTGATGGAACTTTCAAATAATGACATGATATCCGTTTCCTACCAGAGCGTTGCGTCAGTCGAGGACCGAGACCCCAGCTCCCGAAAGGGTCACCGCCTGATAGCTCAACAGGTAGAGGTAGACGCGATCAACTGCGTCAGCGGCCAGGTTCTTGAAGGAGAACCGTGCCAAGTCACCGGATCTAGTGGAGATGCCGCTCAGTGGCATGCCGGGCACCCTTTCCGTAGGGAACGCCGCGATGAACTCTCTGAAGCGGTAGGTGTCCGTGGTGATGCGCATGTTCTTGATGCTGGAGTCGTAGGTGTGTGCCAGAATCGACAGGAAGTGGAAGTGCTCAGCCGTCGAGGACATGGGGTTGTGGGGATACTGGAGCGAGCCAAGTTGCATCTGCGACTCCATGACGCCCTCGACGCCAACCGTTTGGCTAGGGTTTCGCAGGTCCCGCACTGGACCTTCCACGCTGGCAGAGTTGTAAAACATGACGAAGGCACCCAGAAGCTTCGTGAAAGCACGTGCCACGGTGACGTTGTGGCTCGTGGCAGCATCCGGGATCGAAGATACTTGCGTGTGCATTGCCGGAAAGCTGAACACCAAGGATCTGCCAGACAGCAGCACGCGTCGGAAGGATTCGACCAGGGCGGAATCCAAAGTCACTTGACTGGCAAGGACCCGAACGTTTTGGATCTCATAGTCTTCGGAGCCTGCGTCCCCCGGTCGAACCGCCTCTGCAGGAGGGGCAAACTCGATCTCGAGAACAAGGTTCAGCTCGGGCGGGAGCATCTTGCCGGCCTTGAAGAGGCCGAGCAGGGATGGAGCCATGAGGACGTCCCAGTATCGAGTGGCAGCGATGCTTTCGGGTCGCGTGAAGGCGTCGTTCCCCTGCTTGAAGCCCTCCACGCCACGGTTGTCCCACCACTCTTTCGGCTTCAAGCAGCTGTACAATTGCATGCACCTGCCGTATTCCTGAACGTCTTCGACCCGCTGGCCGTTGGCAAAAAGTTGAACGCGCTTCACGAAGCATCCAGGATCCACCAACGCGGGCTGGAGGGCCAACGTAGCGTCGTTATTCTGCACCCTGAAGGCCACCTTGATCGAATCGGGGTCCAGGAAGTCAGTCCCACTTGTCAAGGGAATTCGGGCCACCCTAGACGTGGTCGGGGTGAAGCTGCTGAGGGAACTGGGATAATACATGACATCGTTGCGAGGGACCACATACGAGGCGTTGGACGTCCGCATCTTGTAGTCCAAAGAGCTGATGAGCTCATCGTTGACGGCGTTCGACACCACTTCCATCGTTTCTTTGCTTTCCTACTAACGACGTTTGCAACTGCTCGTTCGTCGTACGACTTAAGCTGCCTCGGGCTCCTGCCTCAATGCATCTCGCTGGAGATCGTTGAAGGAGGGCTCGGCCCGCGGTTGTCGTCGTCGTACAGGGCCGTAGCTCTCGGATTCGCTGCTGGTCGCCACCTGGTTGAGGCCGAAGGGCATACGCGGTCGCGGCGCCGGGCGGCTTTGAACTTGCGGCCTTGGCTGTTCCTGCTGCTGCTGCGCCATGGGAGCGTCGTCTTCAGAGCTGATGCTCACGACCATGGGCTGCCTGACCCTTGGCTGTCGGACGCTAAAGCGTTCCTGGGGCGCGCCTTGCTGCATGTTGTTGATGGTTCGCACATCAGCAGATTCGCTGCCAGAGCTAGCAGGCGCTGCGTCCCCGCCGTTGCCGCCCAGCAACCACCTGCCTCCCTCGTACAATCCCAAGGCCACCCCGCCGGCCAATGCAGCTGCTCCACCCGTGGCCACGCCGGCTGCCAAACCCAAACCTTCGGGCAGCCGCGCCGCCAGCTGCCTCACCAGCCGCTCCTCCGAAAGCGGCAAGCCCGCCCAACAAGCCCCCTCCAGCTTCAGCCGCTGCAGCCGTTTGAGTGCCGATCTCAGCGGTTTCAGCCAGCAACGGCACGAGCTCTCCTCCTTCCACTGCCGCTTGCTCTGCGGCGAATTGTTCGATGTCTTGGGCCGCCGCACGCTCCACGTCCTGAGCGCGCTGGCCGGCTCGAACGATCAATTCCTCGGTTTCGTTGGGTCTGCCAATGATCTGGGGAGCCCCGAGCGAGGTGGCAAAAACCTCCGCTCCAATGCATCGGCTGCCCTGGCCGCGTTGCGGTGCGCAAAAGAGTCCACGGCCGCCCCTAGGCCAGCAGCGCCCGCTGCGATGATCGTTTCGGCACCTTGCAGGCCAGCTTCGCCCAAGCGACCCGAAGTGCTGCTGGAAGCTTGTCCCGCAGTTGGAGGTCTGGGGGCTCCGTCGAAGCCGTTGCGTCGGAAGGATTCGTCCTCTGTGTCAGCGTCCGAGCCGGGTCCCAGAAAGTTAGGCCTTCGAACTTGGGGGAACGCCCTGCCTCGGTAGCCATCTTCGTCAGCGCTGTAAAAGTCGCCTTCCACAGCGGCCCCCAGGTCCGTGTGCCGGCGCGGGTTGTCCACCAGCGGCTCGGTGGACTGAGGGAATTCGTCCAGATAGAAGTGGCTGGACGTGTAGATCGTGGCCTTGCGGGTGGGCAAGGGAAAGTTTAGTGGTTCTCCTTCGTTGATACACGCTAGGACTTCCCCGTAGTCGGGGCGCCTGCGAAATCCCATCACGCGCTGTTCCTCCATTGGCTTTTTGCTTAGTAAGCGCCACCAATAGCGCCCGATGCTTCCCCATTTTGTCGACCAGCTCTGGGAGGATCCCTCCTTTGGCGGGCCCCTTGAGAAGCCTGGCACGACGCCGGACTCCATGGTGTTTCTGACGAGTTGGTCTCCTGCCCTGAGGGTTTGTCGGCGTTCGGCCCCTG